GTCTGTGTAAACCTTTTTCAAGTTACTTAACTTTTCTGTGCCTCAGTTTTTTCACCTGTGAAATGGGAAGTAAAAACAGTACCTCAGAGTGCTCTTGTGAACATTCTTGGGAGCTTACTGGTCCCAGTGCCTGGAACAGCGTAAGTGCTAAGTAAACAGTACTTACCCTAATTTATTGAACATCTACTATGTGCTAAACAAATAATTACAGGGTATAGAGCAGAAACAGCTGTACACAACCATAAATATATAATGTCTGGAGTGATACGTGCTTGAGGAAAAACTAAGCAAGATAAAAGTGGAGAGAATGATAGAGGGGGTATCTTTATATAGGGAGGACCGGATATCCTGTCTGATCAAGACATTTTTTGTGTGTAGGCTTAAGAAAGTGAGAGCAAAGGACACGGATGCTTGGGGCAATGAGGACCCCAGGCAGAGAGAAGATAAATTACTGAGGCCCTGATATCTGGGGCACTGGACTGGTGTGAGGAACTGGAAGGAGGGCAGGGGTGGAGGGCTGGAGCAGAGACAACAGGGCAGAGGCGGGGAGGAGACGAAGTCCCCAGGCCGAGGGTCGGGGAGAGAGGAGTGCTTGCCAAAGAGAACCTTGTTGGCCACGTTTGAGACCTGAAATTTTTGTCTTGGTGAGACAGGAAGTCACTGCAGGGCTTTGACATAGCAGTGACTTGAGTAAGGAAAACAGGAGCCTGCTGCATTCATGGGGACCACAGATGATGGTGTCTTCAACAGGGTAGCAGGGGCAGGGCTAGTTTAATAATTCTAATACACCTCTCCACTTTGCCTTTGCCCTACAGGTAGCCCTTTAACTGGCATTTATTGAACACCTACTAAGTCAGACATTGGTCTGGGCCATTTTACAGATGTTCTCTCTTACCCTAGTGGTGCAGACCCTTTGGTAAAAAAAGATTAGGGTGTTAAAGCTCCAAGATGTGTTTGAAATCATCTACTGCAAACTCATTATTTTACAGATGTGGAATTAGAAATCCTGAGTCATTGAATGATTTACCCAAGATTGTATAGCTAGTTAGGTCGAGAGAAGGACCTGGGACTCAGGTGTCCTGACTTTACAAAAGAGGACATGCAAAATCAGTGTTTCTACTGACTTAACAAAAATAACTCATTGTGCCCTTATTCAGGTTACTTCCCTTTGCCTCTTCTAATTTAAAAATAACAACAGCAAAACTTCTTTCAAACATGTTCCTCATCTGGTTAATATTTATGAGAATCATTTCTAAAATGAGTAGTTTTGAAGTTTCTAAAATAACTCTGCCTTAGGATGTCTATATAAATGTCTATTGCCATAACCTATTGGCGGGCAGTTCTGCACATCTATCGCTGAAAGAAATACCACCGACTTTCTGTAATTACTTTAGTATGCCAATCACTTACCAAAATAACTCCTGTTATTCGCAAATGGGCTGTCTACCTCAGCAATACTCAGCCATTATAACAACTTCATATACTGCCTGTTCCCAAGGAAAGGAGGACATAGCATAGCGTGATTGGGGCAAATAAAGGATCTAGAACAGGGAAGAATATTTTATTTCTAAAGTAAACTGGAAACTTTATTTGAGATATCTCCAACTACTGTAGTTTCTTAATTTTGTATACCTCATAGAAACTAAGGAGGAGATAAATCTTGTTAAGGATAAAGCAGGACTTGATAAGAATTCCCTAACGTGTGTCCTCTCTGAGTCTAAGATATGAGGTGGACACCCTGGGATGAAATACTCCTCTCCCCTTCTCCCAAATCCAAGTTTGTACCTGAATTTTGGTTCTCTACAGTCACTGCTAAACTTAACCCTTTCTCTAGTACCCTAAAGCAGAACTGCCCCAAAGGCTATAGCTTTCTTTTTTTCTCTTAGGAAACTTGGAAAAGATGTTGAAGGCTGTGAAGAGCTGAAATATATCCCTGGCCTAGTAAGAACATTTTATAAAATTGATCGGTGGGCAGTCAGTTTGTTGTTCCTGAGATCAGCAGTAGAGCTTCTTGTGACATAGTAAGTATGAAAAGAGCCATTTCCCATTCCTTTTGTTCATTCCATGCATATTAGGAGAGAGGAAAATTCAACTGAGGGCCTATTCTCCCCTAAGAATCCTTTAGTGTAATTATGACCACAGTATATTAAATGTCTGTAAGACATCCGCGTTAGCTCTGCTGCTCCTGCTCTCAGCAGTGAAAGAAAGAGGAAACCCTTTCGTTACTAAAAAGCCACAGAAGGATGCTCTTGTGGTTCTAAAATATTAGGTTAAATAATCAATATAACCAACTATAGGCTACTGTGCTACTTGTAAATGAACATCTCCTTGCTGCTAATTTTGTGCTATTTTACCTTTCATTTAAAAAGGTAATTCAGGGGCCAGTGTTGGTTAAGAGTTGGCTTGGGATGCCAACTCTGAGCAGCAGGGCCCCAGTTCGGATCCCACATTAGGGCCAGTGACGCTGTGCCCTCTACAGCTAAGATGGTGAGCAACAGCTCAACCTGGAGCTGGGCTGCCGTGAGTCGCTGGCGACGGCGTAGGCTGCAGTGGGGCTGTCTGGCAGCAGGCGTGAGCTGCCAAGAGCCACCGTGAGTGGCTGTCTAATGGCCAGCGAGTGAATGCCTTGCCCAGGAAGAGCGCAATGATGATGCCAACATGGGCCAGTGAAGCGATGTCTTTCACAACTAGACTGAAGAACAAAAAAAGGACAGCAACTTGTGTGTTCCCCTTCCCTGATTCCCCAATAAAATCTTTTAATAATAAATAAATAAATAAATAAATAAATAAATAAATAAAAAGGGAATTCAGGTTAAACTCAGCTGAACAGGAAAATGCTCTTGATATTTTGAAGCATTTTGGAACAATTAGTTTGACAGGAGTCCTTGACAGTTAAATGGCTCTGTTAAATGAATGTTATAGAAGACACATAATGGTTTTTAGTGAAATATTGAATTCAACCCCAAATGAGGCAACACGAGTCCTAAGCACTATGGGTATATCTGAATAATAACAACTTGCTTATGAACCTCAGTGGATTCCCTAATTTGTAATAATCAGGCCATCAACTAGTTAGCTGGTATGTTTCCCATCTTAGTGCTTATTGTTAATTTTTGGGGTTTGCTTTTGTTGTTTTTTTAACCTGAGCTACAAAAAATTTAGAAACTGGCAATAACTTCCTCCTACACTGGTATGATAGTTTAGAGTCAGGCAATTAGTGAGTTGCCGTCCCATTGCTGAAGTTCTTCTCTTTTTCACATTTGCGGAATGAGATTCTTTCACAAAGTAAAAAATCAGCAAAAGGCAAGAGCCTGCAGCCTGAGAACGTGTGAATTCACTGTACACCAGCGTTTCCTCCAACCGTGGGACTCAATATTCCTTTTCTGATTTTATGCATCGAATGTGAGATAATATCAAGGGTTTTACATGTTTTCTCATGACTAACGACTGAAATATGCACTGAAATAATAAAACTGGTACTGTTCAATTTCCTTTTTAAATTCAATTCCAATATAAGTGAGAGTGCCCTTGTGATGGTGAAATCCAGCTTATAATAAAATTCTGTTTTCTAGAGAAGAGGAGGAGCTGGAAATCCTTGTAGACTTAAAACATGTGGGTTAGGGATGGGTGGGGCCACTTGGACTGGAGAAATGAGTCAGAAGAACAGGAATTGTTCATCTTGTTGGTCTGGCAAACGGGGGTGAAAGCCGATGCTAAGCATACGGGGTGGTCTTGCTTGGATCCCCACACACTGTGTGCCACTGCACGTCCTCATTCTCCCAAGCAGGGGAGGTACACCCTCCACCACAGTCCTACCATTGCCTGCATTTACCTTCACTCGGCAGTGGTCTATTTACACTTTGTCTCCTGACATGTCTGCTCCCCACTAGAGAGTCACTCCTTGAGGACAGGGGGTGTCCTTTCATCTTGCGTCCCCCAACATTTCTGAGCCATGATAAGCTATTTGATAAATGTACTTTTGAACAAAGACACTTTAAAATCCTTCAACTGACAGTGAAAACAGGTGGGAAAGTCCAGATAACTCAAAAATTCGATACTTGTTAAAGGAAAAGTCCAGATAGATACACAGCAAGCTGCCTAAATTCAATATTACCTAGAACCTTGCTAACTCAAAGTGCGGTCCATGGACCAGCAGCATCACCATCACCTGGGAGCTTTATAAATACCAAATCTCGGGCCCCGCCTCAGACCCCCTGAATCAGAATCTGCGTTATAACGAGATGCCCAGGTGACTTATGCACAGTGAGATTTGAGAAGTGTTTACCTGGAATATATGAGTAGTCTGATACCTGACATAGTGATGGTGCATGTGATGGAGAAACAGGAGACCATAAAAATGTGATTAATACAGAGGTCTGCTGAGAAGGCATTAGTGCTCTCTCAGGACAAAGTCACTTAATGCTCACAGGTGGGAAACACACCAGTTCCCTTGGAACCCTTTCTAGATCTTTCTTTACGCTCTTTCCTGTTTAAAGACACAGCTGCTCTTAATACTTGTCTTTTCTCTTTGGTGCAAAGAGAGTATTTATCGTCAGCATGCTGACATTTGCAGGAGTTTTGGCTTTCTCCACCGAAAATGTGGATGACTGAAAGGGTATTGCTGACACCTGACTAAGAAATCCAATGACTCTAAGCTATGTAAATTTAATTATTTCCTTTAATTTTTTTTTTCAGGAATCTTTTTTCTTTTCCTCAGCTTTGGAGAAGTCCTCGCAATTTTCATTTAAAAGAAATACAAGTCAGCAGTGGTTCACTGAACAGGCTGACACGCAATTGCATAGGGGGAGAGGCGCTGTGTCTTTAATCTAATTTGTGCTCTCAATTCCCAGCTAATGTATCTGGGGACCTTGATGTATGCATTTACAAGGAGACATCTGTAATGCAGAGTCCAGCTCGCTGCAAGGCTCTGAAACACGGGTAAAAAATTACTCTGGATTCTTGCAGCTGCTCTACCACATGATAAATCTGTATATACTCACAGATGTAGAAATATTCCCGGCCTGGCCTGAATTCAAATCCTAGAGAAAAGGGTGTGAAGAGCTGGAATTTTTCTGAGAACTTCAGCGGTCCATTTGGAGAGTGAGGCCGGTTACATTCCCACCTCTTGAACCCTTTGGAAGTATGGTCGCAGGCACTGTAGCCATCAAAGTTCACCATGTACAGGACATAACGCTCGGTCTTGTCTTCCGGGACCGAGTCCTCATAGTGAGGGCAGAAGACATCCAGGTAGTCGTTGATGCAGACGTCAATATGGTAGTCACCCCTCTGGAATCTGTCAGAAGAAGGAAAAGCTGCGATTACTCATCAAGGAAAGCCTTGCTGTTTGGAATCAGTGGCTGAACCTTTAATAATGGCAAGACTAAAATATTTATTGTAAGTTGTTTTTCTTGCATGCTACTGTGATGCGGGGCATGGTTTGAAAGGTTACTGTTCCAAATCGAAGCCGCAACAAGCCATTTTACAGAGGAATTCTAGTATATGTGTTTCAAAATGCCCTAAAAATGGAACCCTTCATGGCCATTTTAAGTATTAAAGATAATTATGTGTTGTTTTCCTTTCAGTCTTCAAATCACACATATTGAAGCAAAGCTGTCATATTTCTAAACTAGTGTTTTGTTCAATAAATGTTTTTGAATAAATGAAAAATTAATTTAAAGAACAAATGACTGCATTGTTTTTGTTATAATTGAGACCATCCTCAATTTTCTATGCAGATTGAGAGAATTAGAGTCATAAAACTGAGAGAATTAAAATCATAAAAGTTGGAAAAGAAAAGCTCTAGAACAACACTTCCACTTTAGAGGAAAATAAAAATCTATGGCATAACGATGAAGTAGTGAGTTATTGAGCTAGACTTGGAATGGAGACTTCGGATCCTAGCTAAGTATTTCCCTTAGTAAATCTGCTTATGTCACAAACTCATTTTAGCCAATCTCTTTTCTTGATGTCCTGTCCCTTTCTATAGTAAGAAAATTGAAACCATCTACATCAAATGACATTTCCTCCATTTCTTTTCATTTTATAGGTTGTGTTCTAGGGCTGAACTGATGAGTACTGAAAGTAACAAGCCAGAAGAAAAGAGCGAAAACTAGAGGCACTTCATCCTGAAACAGTTAAAATGCACACACTCACATGCATGCGCGCGCGCACGCACACACACACACACACACACACACACACACACACACACACACACAGTCTGCTCCAATCTTACCTTACAAAAGTTTTGCTTATTTGTTTTAACTAATATGCCTTTCCCCGAAGTATTTCTCAGGATCCAGTGACTGGAAACAGGAATTGTTATGCATACAACTTTCTAAAATCAGGGTGGAAAACCAACAAAACCCCTGTCTTTAGCCAGTGAAGAAATTCTTCTCTGAGCTCTTAGAAAGGTCATCATAAAACTGTATTACTGCTGAAATATAATGCCCATAAAGTCATATAATCAAGTCAGACAGTCTCAACACGAACACTTCCCAGTGACGGTAAGCTGGTCTATTCCATTTTTGGACATTTCTGAATGTTAGAAAGTTTCTCTTATATCGAGCATAAATCTGCTTCTGTGTGACATCTAGCCAGTGATCCTACTTCTGCTGCCTGAAGTGACAAAGAACAAATCTAATTCTCCGTCCACCAGGTAGTCCATAAAACATTTAGAGATGTCAGCGATGGCTCTCCGTAGCCTCCTTTCTCTAGACTTGAAAATCCTGCTTCCTTTGGTTATTTCTGGTGTAATTCCCAGGCTCGTCACCATTCTAGTTTCTTGACCCTCTTCCTCCAAGTTTCCCAGTGTTCTCCTAAAAATGCAGCATCCAAAAGTAACAAAGACCTTTCACAGGTGTTGTGATCAACGTTCAGCCCAGTAGAAATACCGCCACCTTCACTCTGGATGCTAAATATTCACTGACAAAGCCAAGATTCCTCTCTGAAATACAACATGGTAAAAGTGGAAGCACTAACGATGAGTGAGTAGACCCGGATGTAAGGATTCTGCTGCAGGTTGAATGGGAAATTCATACACCATTCTGCACCTCCGTTTCCTCATGTTAAATTGGAATAATAACGAGAAGCTGCCTTGCTGACCTCACACGGCTGCTTCATGTCTTAGATACGGGAATGTATGAAAACGCACCATGTGAATGCGAAACAGTGCTACGATTAGCAGGACATATTAAAGCATATCAAAATGGGTAACAATAAAACATTAACTTTTAAAGAACAGCAATATCAGCATACAACAGAAACAAAAATAATCCTCGTTTCCCTTTTTAAAAATCCAAAAATCACATAAACATCCTCAGTCTGTCCTCACATATCAAATGACCTACAGAAACTCCATTTGACCCCTGCTTTTGAAAAGCAGCCTACTGATTTATACAAAGGAAATAAAGAAATCAGACCACTTTTCAGGGAGAGGATCTCAAAATACCATTAAAAAAAAAACACAAAAAAAACCCTCAGAGGTATTTATTTCTGTATATTTACAATGATCATGGAACCAGGTTTACTTTTTCTTCGTTATTGGCAGACAACGATTTGTCAAGATGCAAGGAAAGCCTGTGTTGCTTTTAAAAGATTTCTGGACATCAAGGTAACATCACTGCCAAAGTACAAAGAAAAGACACTGCAATGTTCAGATAAAAGGGTGCTGGGCTATGAATCACCAGCACTCAGAGCAGCCTGACAAGTTCTGGAGGAGAGCCAGACAGGCGCTGCAGCAGCAGGAGAGGTCCAGATGCACTTTATATTATTATATTATTATTATAGATTTTAAAGACATTCAAGGGGGATGTTTTCCCTTTACCTAAGTGTCACTCATTTTAGCTTTTACTAACACTTGACACTGCTTAAAAGTGAAAATAAAAGTTGAAACCTCCACTGTCTGGACCCATTCTGTTATTGCTTAATTCTACAAATTGTCATGGTTTTTTGACGCCTCAACTTTGGCTTCCCTTTTCCAACGTTTATCCTTGTAAATATTGCTAAAGTTTAATAAAACAAACCATGAGACTGAAGAATCATTTCCCATTGGGTTGACCTTTCTGGTGACATTTTACTTTGTGTGGAGTGTTACATGAATCACTGGGGAACCTATTTTAAAAATGTGATGGCCCAGGAATTAGTATTTCTACCCTTCTTTTCATACATATGACAAAGATGATGATTCAGCATGGAACTAATTTACACTTCTGTTTCAGATCTTTAATTTACATAAATTAGTTTACTAATGTCAACTTCAAAGAGCCAATATAAATAAAAACAAGGATAGATTAGAATTCATAAAAGACATCTGTATAATGTACCATGTGCAATTCAAAGAAAAGTTTAGGGTTAAATATTCTAATACTATCCCAAATGACGCTCTCTGGCTACAAAGTAGCCCTGAACTATTCTTTTCTGGCCCTACTGTGAAGAAGCACATGTATGTGTGGCTAATATTATTGAGTGCTTATTATGTTACATTCACGATCTCAATTTAATCTCCATCACAAATACCATGACATAGACATTAATTTGTACACCACTTTAAAATGAAAAAACTGAGATTAAGAAGGCAAGCAATGTGCTCAAGGTTACATAACTAGTAAAAGGTGAAGGCAGATTTCAAACCCAAGCAACCCAAGTTCTGACCTCTGAACCGAAGCGCTTCACTATTCCACTTCCTGAGAGAGTAAATTGCTAACGTCAAGTTCTTAGGTCTACTTTGTATTTCCCTAGGAGGATGATATGATTCTCATTCTTGATGGGGTTTCATGTCATTCTTCATTCACAGATGCAACAAATTGTTAGCCACATCCAGGATGTGCCATGTTATGGCTTTACATCTGCTGTCATATGAAATTCTTATTGGGGGGTTATAATGAGTTTCATTTGACCAATGAGTAAATGACTTTCAGGGAAGTTGCTATTCTCTTAGTTCAATTTTTTTTCCCCCCATAGGAAATAAGTAGCAGAGTTAGGATTTCAGCCCAAGTTCTTCTGGGTTCTGAAGCATATTCTCTTTTCTCTTCATCATAATGGCTCCAAAGCCATTACCAGTTGTAATTCCCCTCACCCAATTTACACTGATCTTTCAGGAAAGTCTGCTGAAAGGTGGCCCAGCCCTCCTATCTTCCCCACTAGGTTGACCCCAAAATCCTAACCTGAAAGCTGAAGGGGGCATCAACACTTAGAATAAGCCTAGATTGCAGGGTTAGCTCCTGAGTCACACACATCATTCCAGTCTTTCATAGAATAAAGGTTTTAACATAAAGAGATCCTTTTTCTCATTAGGAAACAGCTTTGTGAGTTTCAGCTCATACTAAAAGAGATAAAGAGCAAATTCACTCCTAAGAATGGCTCCGCTTGCCAATATTTACAAATGCCATGGGTAGCATGGCCAGTGTTTTAACATATTTGTAAATTTCTTGCATATTTTCTTATAAATGTGTCCTCTTTACTCCTACCCTTAATCTCATCCATTGTATCTGTGGATCTCTACCTCTCTGAAATTTCTGTATCTGCTGAACTTTTTACCAATAAGCCAGCAGTAATAACAATACAATCTCTACTAAATTATCACAGTGGTTTATAATATAAAAGCATGCATAGTTACCACACTTAGAAAAGTGATTGTGTTGGAGTAAAATGATTATTGCCCTGATGTGTTCTCACAATACAAAAGTCTCAAGTGCCAGGAAACATCTCCTATGCATAGAATGATGGTTTTGTTCTCCACTAGGTTGTGTGTACTTAGGTCAATGCTCCTTATTGCATATAATAGTATATATACTCTGTTATGGCAAGGATACACTGTACACATTCATCAAAATTTGGCAGAAGACTGGTTGAGAATATGTCACACATATTATCAAAGGCTCATTTTAGTTAATTAAGAAGAATAAAATTCAGCATGGAAACTAGTTCCTTGTAATCAACTCAATTACCAAAAATGAATTATGTACTTTATGATAGTTCTTGATGACCCAGAGGCTGCCTGGAGGATTAGGGGAAAATACACACACACACACACACACACACACACACACACACACCGGGGCTACTGATAGCAAAAATAACAACCAAAGTTGGGATTTGAGATAGAAAGTCTATATGTAGACATGTGTGTTTGTTTTCAGTGTTTACCTGATGACATTCCACAGCTAAATATAATTTTGATTGTAAATTTAAAACTATTATTAATATCTCTCTCCTTACTTAACCTGTCTGGAGAAAGTGAATCATGACTTGAGTCTCAGAATTCAAATGAAATAAATAGAAGTGAGGTAACAG